TAGTGACTCAACTAAAAAGACATTGATCACGATTACTGGAATGAATTATAGCATCTGTATCTAATAAATAGTTACAAGTAAAATTGTAAATCCTACTAATCATTTTAGAAATATTATTAGTAATTTCTTAGAAAAGTGCTGGCAACGTTAACAAAAACACATTTTGTATATTTTTATGAACGATTGTTAACACGGCTTGCCACAGGCGCGTGCGTTCATACGGAAATACGTGGAAAGCTGCTCTCTCTCTCTCTCTCTCTCTCTCTCTCTCTCTCTCATTCATTACGCGTTCATCCGCGTCTGGAGATTTACAGACAGATTTGAGAATGAAACAACAAATGACCCTCTGATGTTTTATCCAAATCTAACATCAAACACTTAAAAACATGCATCCCGCTCATGTGATAATTGAAACTTGCGTGTTGTCGATTTGCAACGACGATGATGATCTGCAGTTTAAAGCTGCAAAATTCGGTTCTGTTAAATATTCTCCACATACGGTGTTTAGACAGAGCCGTTAATTATTGACAGAAGGATTTGGAGATGTGGTGGGGGAGATGGGTGAAATGATCTTTGAACTCACCGTCCTGATCGCTGCCATCGCTGCTGTGTTGAGATGAATGTAAACTAGTCCGAGTGGGAGCAGCAGCCCGGGACTCCCTGCGTTCCGGATTGGACCCCTAAGAAAACAGCGGCAAAGTGCTCAGGGTTTGAATCCTTCAAGGGTTCTTTATTATTTCTTTAAGCGCATTCGCATTGTTTTCAACACAGACCAGTGAGATATGTGCATCAGAAGGCTTGTTTGAAATATGCTAAATATTATTATTCGTTTTGTCACCAGGATAAAGCCATAATAACAAGTCAGATGCTGCTTTCTAAATAAGGAGGATATTTTTTTTCTAAATACATATGATAAACTTAATAAATAGGTATGAGTCGATTATATAATCATCATACTATTTATCATCTATATATGAATTTTAAAAGTCATTAACGTTCCAAACAAAACTATTCCTGTCCATCAAAGGGTTAATAGTAAGGTAGGAGTGACGGGTCTCTCGCATCTGATTGGATAAAAAAGTAAAGGGTCAAATCTACGCAATCAGCGGGGTTAAACAAGGTTATGAGGAAACATTCCAGTCATTGGCCAGTATATGAGGCGTTGGTCCGATCCGGTTAAATTATTGGCTTTTGGACATTTGAAGAAATATGTTCTGTCAATACCTTCAGCTGATGATGTGATGAAAATAAAAATAGCCTGTCACCTGTGTTGGTCACTATTGAAAACCAGGCTGTATGGCTTTAGATTACACAGAAACCTAGTTCCCATTTGCATATTAAATTGAATTGGGTTTTCTTTCTTTGAATTTAATTTTCTGTCTCAAACTCTGAAATCTATATTAGGCATTGCTACCAAATTTACATCAATCTGATTATTATTTATTTACTGTCTTGTAACTTGCATATAATGCAATGCATTTCCAGCTGTTTAATGTAGTTAAGGACTAACCACAACATTTTGATATCAAACGACTAACAACAGTATTAACTTGTCTTATATCATTATATCAGAATAATCCCCATTAGTGGCATTGGCCATGCTTCTGACATACTTTTTCTAGCTAATATTAAGTAAAATAATTTGACTACAAACGAGCGGAAAATGAGTGTTGAGTGTAAATTGATTGTTTTTTTTTAATGAATACAAATAATTTTGTGTATGAAGCAAATCACAACCTGTCAAAAGTCATTACAGATTTAAAAAATCACTACATCACAATTGAAAATTGGATTATTGTGTAACAAACAGTCCAGGGAATGTTTACATGTAAACACCAATAAGTCTTTGCACATTCATGGTACTGTAATTCACAGTGCAGGTCCCTTACATATAATATTTAACTAATACTTGCATTTAAAAAATGAAAAACTCAGCATTTAGATTAATTAATTACCCCAAAAAATCCTATTACTATTAGATATACAAATAAATGCAGTTGGCTTTAAATTGAACAATTATTGCACCATTTACCTGATCATAAGGCGGCATGAAAGTGCGAAATGGCAAGTGAAAGAAAAACAATTTTCAATTGCTTAGAACTTCAGTAAACTTTCAATAATGTGATTGTTTAATATTAAACTTAACCTCACTCAAATAAAAAAAATGGCAAAGTCTGCAAATAGTTGCACTGTGAAGCAGCATGAAACAAGCTGTCTGAGATGAGAAATTAAGCCATATTATTTCATGGGCCTTTCCATCACTGTCCGGTTATGGAATTTGGCTTTTGAAGCTGTAGTTCAGTTCAGCTCCCCCCCCCGCTCAGAAACAAATCTATCCCAGTACAGAAAGTGGCATCAGCTGCCAAGAAGAAGTCTCCGTTCCCATTCGACCAATCAGCTGTTGAGTAGAAATATGTTACTAGAATATATTCAGCAGAATAGCATTGCATATTTAACCTTATGAACACCTACCTGAGCATTTTCTCCCCCCTTAATAGTGGCAGCAGCGTCTTCTGTGCGGCCAGCAAGCTCCTCCCACAGAGGCATCATTATATTGCTTGGAGAGATGCTATAAAAGAGTTTGAATGTTAATAAACAGCATGTTCACAGATGGAAATTCAATTGGATCTGAAATAGAGAAAATCCTGAATACTTTAGATCTAAATGAAAAAGTAAGGGACAGCTTAGCTGTCAGGGGTATTGGGGGTAATGTCACTCACCAGTTCACTCTCACTTGATAGCGACTCTCATCCACAGCCATTGCTTTAGTCATAGCGGTGATCGCCCCCTTGTGCATATATGTGAGTATTACTGTTACTTCCAACTTGTAAGATGATCAAGTAAAGCACTCAGGACAAGCAGAGAAACTCACCTTGGTTGCCACATAGGGAGCCGCATCTTTCTGACCTATTGAGGTGACAAGGCTGGACAAATTGATGATGTTTCCTTGTGTTTTACGCAAAAACGACAGGGCATACTGCCCCGAGGTAATGAAAAGAGGTTAAAAACAAGTCGGTCAGCACAAATAAAGAGACCAAAGTTTTTTACATCACTTCCTTACGTTTGAAGTAAGGAAGTAACTGATGAGGTTCAGATTAAGCAGGTCTCTAAACTCTTCCGCAGTGGTTTCATCTGTGGTCTTGTGAGGTGGGTCTGATAGGGGATTTATATATAGAAAACTATTTATTTATTAATTTATTAGACAATTTATTTAGAAAAATATTTATCTTCATTACTGTTTTGTAAATATTTTTTTAATAAATATATTTTTTCTCCAAATAAATCCAAAAGTTCCTTGTTAAAATAAAGAGTGTAGAACAAATAAAAAAGTTTAAAGTACATAAAATAACAAGGGTGAATAAAACTTTGATTTACGCCACCCAGCGTTGTTCACCAAACAGTCTATTTGCCAAACCTCTCGATCGTCACATTGATTAATCGCTTCAAGACATGACAATAAAATTAATGAAACAATACATTTAGAACTATATGACATATTTGTTTTGGAAAAGTCCTTATGCATCATGTAAAAGTAAACTACATTGTAATTATACTTATTTTTTAAAAACTTAACCCACAAAACAGCACAAAAATCGTTTATACATTATATTTTATATTACTGATCTCAAGTTTTACATGGAACCCTTTTCAAAAATGAAAAAAATAAAAACTAAAACCATAAAAGTTGAACTGCTAGTTAAGTGTTACTATTATTTTATCCATTTCCTCTGCATTATGTATGTGCTCTTATGTAAATACAAGTTTAAGAAGAAAAAAGAAAGGAGTAAGCCAGAGATGTTATGAATGCCACATGAACGCCAGTGGCTTACCTTGATGTCGTCCTCTTTTGTCAGGTCACATGACACAGACGTGCATGATCCCAGTCCTTCCTTATTCAGCACAGACTCAAAAGACTGGCCAGCAGGCAACTCAGCTGACAATTGTAAAAAAAAAAAAAAAAAAAGAAAGAAAGAAAGAAGGAAACGTTATTGCATTTATTGGCGAGAGGCGTACAGTCAAAAGGCTATTTAAATCAATCACATACTCTCTTGTGCGCAGAACACAACTTTGGCTCCGTTTTGCACTACAAAGCAAACACGAAATTAATTTGACTTACTCTCCCTTTACTTTTGATTACTTAATGGAAAGATAAATATGATAAACCCGTACCAAACACTTTAACGATGCCCCTTCCAATGCCTCTAGTGCCCCCAGTGACGATGACAACTTTGTTGACATAACGCTGCGCACAAGCCATATGTTACTACTGTACAATATACGTTCACTTATGTATACTTATGCAGCAAATGTAAATAATGTCAAATTTCTGCACAGGCTGACAGAGTCTGCTCGAGTAAGCCATTTCTAGTGTACTAAATCATCTGATAGAGAAGTAGTAACCGGTCTTGTGTGTGTGTCAACTAGAGATGATCGCTTCATGGACGAATCGATCTTTTGAAGCTTTTTAGTAAACTTGATGAACCGGTTCGCTGAGTCCGACTGAATCGTCTGAAATATGATCCTATTCCGGTTTCCCCAGCTCTTCCTAACTCAACAGCGCTGCTCCAGCAGGTGCTCCAAAACTCCAAAGCTCCAGCAGACTGAACTGAGAACAGTCTCTCTATCGGACATCATGTCTGATAGTCTGCAGAACCGCTGTAGAAAACTGAGCATGCGTGCTGGAGTGTGTGAGGTTTGCAAAGCAGCTGTATTTTGTAACACACTTTTTTTTTTAATCATTTTATAATTGATACAAAAATTATGTTGTATTTTATATACTTTGTCCCAACAGATATTACAAAGTAAAAAAAAAAGAACACTATCAATATAAATATTTCCACAAAAATCATCAGTGTAAATATCCTTCTGACTGAACTAGAGTTGCACAAACGAGTCAAGAGTCACTCTATGTAAGTTACTAATAAACTACAGACATGCGTAAATCGAGGACTTGAATGAGGAAACGAAATGCACGTTTCTTTGGGTTCTCATGAATTCTGCAGCACAGACTCAAAAGACTGGCCAGCAGGCAACTCAGCTGACAATTGTAACAAAAAAAAAAAAAAAAGAAAGAAAGAAAGAAGGAAACGTTATTGCATTTATTGGCGAGAGGCGTACAGTCAAAAGGCTATTTAAATCAATCACATACTCTCTTGTGCGCAGAACACAACTTTGGCTCCGTTTTGCACTACAAAGCAAACACGAAATTAATTTGACTTACTCTCCCTTTACTTTTGATTACTTAATGGAAAGATAAATATGATAAACCCGTACCAAACACTTTAACGATGCCCCTTCCAATGCCTCTAGTATAACGCAGTCTAACGCATATAATGCCTTATATGCGTTAGACTTGAAAAAAAAAAAAAATCCGCGTTTAAATATCATATTTGGCGCTTTGAAAAAATTGAATGAGATACTATCAGTGCAAAGGCGAATAACACGTCGATTTACGCCACCCAGCGTTGTTTACAAAACAGTGTGTTTGGCCAAAGCTGTCAATCACACTGATTAATGGCTTCAATGTAAGAAGATATTACAATAATAAATAATACATTTAAAACTATGTTGCATACTATGTATCATGAAATGAAAAGTACTACATCACCATTCTAATTATTTTAAAATTATTTAGGCCTAAAAGCAATAATTATTTTTATTCACAAAATAGCACAAAAATACATTAGATTTTATAATTGATCTCAATTTTAATATGGAAATATTTGTAATATTCAAACCTATATGTAATATTCAAACTAAATCCTAAAACCATAAAATGATAAACTGCTAAAGCTTTTTCAAATCTATGTAATTGTTTTATTCTTCTAGGCCTACTACTACTAATAATAATGATGATAATAATAATAATAATAATGATAATAATAAGTATTATTGTAATTATTATTAAAATTATTATTTTATATTTGTATTATTATTTGATGGAATAACATGTAAATCAGCCATGCACTTACACATTACTTTTTTAAAATAAATGTATATATTGATCGGGTTCGTTGAAACAAACTGTCCAAGAGAACCAGTTTGCAGGGGGCGGGGAATCAGATTTCCCATAGTGTCAACAGAAACGTCACATAGGTTATGGTACTTGTAGTTTTGGGTGCTTAGAATTTAAGGTAAGAACTGAACTGAAAAAAAGTAATACATATTTCTAGTAACTTTTGTTCTATAAATAGGGTGACCAGACGTCCCGTTTTTTTCCGGGACAGTCCCGTATTTCAACTCTATTTTTAGTGTCCCGAGTCCGATTTATTTTGAAAAAAAATCCCGTTTCGTCCTGTATTTCCAAATTCCTTTACGACTGGGTGATCAGAGCAAGCAGTAGAAGTGTTCTGTCACGCGAGAAGCTTGTCGTAGGACAAAATTACCATTCAATCACAATTTGTTATCGATTGCAGTAAGTGAAGGTGGAATCACGCTGAATGACACACCAGAAGCAAAAGGGTCTGGCTGCAGCCTCGCATTTGCACTCTCAGATTTGCACTATCAGACTTGCACTCTCAGACATTTGCACTTCCGCTAGCGACGTCACTTGCAGTCTTTATTTTTTTATTTTGTTCTATTTATTTATTCTTTTTATATATATATATACACACACACACACACACACACCACAAGTACATCATTATTTTTAATATAAAGGCGCAAGGAGAACTGATTGCAGTACTGGCTGGACCGGAGCTAAAGTCCGGATCAGACTGTGCCCGCTGCCGGGTTCGCGTGAAACAACACATTTGCCCCAATCCAAAGCATATTTACACTGTCTGAATCGTTTCCTATCGCCTACATTGTGCACTAGTTCCATTCACTGTACAGGAAATACTACACTGTAAACAAATGACCGATCTCAACCAGCTTCAGCATCTATTTATAGTGTAGGGGGCGGGCGCTTCGGATTCTATAGAGCATTTGATTGGTCAGAAGATTTGATGAGAAGCTGAAGTACGAGGTGACGTCAAAAAAATCGTTGATCCATTTTGGCGGAAGTGACGAACTGCAAGCTTTGACTGCTTATATCTTCTAAATCCGAATTTTGTTACTGTTTTGGAGCACACTGGCTTACAGATAACCTTAAGACTAACATATTGGTACTAACACCCAAAAAACTTTAATTTTGATTTCATGGGGACTTTAAAGGGACAGCAGCCTAATTAAATAGGCTACCTGTCTCATTAATGTTAATCAAACAACAAAAGATGTTAAATAAATGTAGCTATACATGTTAAACCAACTGTATTAGAAAAACAAGTTAATTTAATATTTAATTTGCATCTTTTGTATTTGTCTTATGGTTTGTAATTTTCTTCTTTATTTTTATATAAAAAAATAATGATGTAGGCTAAGTGTGGTGTGTGTGTGTGTGTGTTTGTATATATATATATATATATATATATATATATATATCCCCGTCCCGTACCATATTGAACCAAGAGAAATCTGGTCACCCTAATAAAGGCACAAGGAGAACTACAAGTACCATAACCTATGTGACGTTTCTGTTGACACTATGGGAAATCTGACAGTTTGTTTCAATGAACCCGATCAATATATACATTTATTTTAAAAAAGTAATGTGTAAGTGCATGGCTGATTACATTACTATGACACATTGCAATAAAAGGAATTTTTTAATTCATATAAATTCATGCATGACTATTTTAATGAACTACAAAAGAAATACACAAGTGACTTGAAAACCTTGAAAAAAAAGTAGAAAAATCATTATACACTTTTCAATATAAAAAAGATCCCCAGTTTATGTCATTATTCTGTAAAAAAAAAAAAATAGTTCAGAATTTTTGTATTCTGAATAATTCATTATTTGTTGGCAGAAATGCTGGGGCGGGATAAAATAGCAAATAGCAAAAACCTATTATTCATACATGAAAAAAAGCGAAAAACAAATATAAAAGAGATAAATGAGAGAGACAGGCATTTTAAGGTGTTTGGAACAGTGAGCTGATGAGGGGACGAGGGGCTCTGGATTGAATTTCAGCATGACAGCATTTCCCAGCGCTGCAGTGAGCGTGAGAGCGAGTGAAGACAGTGACTTACAAACAGGTTTAAGTATCTGTACTGCACTGACCAAGGGCAGGACAAAGTTTGTGGTTCAGGGCACAGGAGAAAACACCTCCTGTTGGACTCGTAGGCTAGACCGTCTGGCAGAAAGGGGGGGCAGTAGATACACAGCTCATGGTGTGGTGCAGGTAGGGAAGAAACACGAATAGCGTGGGGCAAATATTCTGGATTTACGGACACTAGTGGCAGAGGGTAAGTGGAGGGACAAACAGGGTGTCTACTCAGAAACTTTTCAGAGACCCAAACCTCTATATTCCTAATAGAACATTTCAGATTTTTGGGAGATTTTTACTCGCAAGGGATCGTGATGTTTTTGTTGAACATTTTTCACCCCTTCACCAACTTCACTTAAGTCTTGTTTTATACTTGAGGTCAAGGATTGTTTTGCTGTCTTCTTATAAACTGCCTCCCTTAACTTTTTATTTTATTTATTTATTTTTTTGTCTGAAAGTCTCATAGTCTTATTCTCGTGGTGAGGGTCAAAGTGGTAATTGATCTGTCTGCAGGAGTCAACACAGGGTTCGGATAGAGTACATGAAATGTTTGTATATGATTTCATGGAACGGCAGGAGAAGTTTCTGCAGAAGAATTTAAGTATGGATACTATCTTCAGTTACATAACTGGAACAGGACTGTATAAATTGACCAAATTCTTGTTGTGCACTCTTAAAAATAAAGGTGCTTCACGATGCCATAGAAGAAACTTTTTGTCTAAAATGGTTCCATAAAGAACCTTTAACATCTGAAGAACTTTTCTGTTTCACAAAAGGTTCTTTGGGGCGAAAGAAGGTTCTTCAGATTATAAAAAGGTAAGAAAGAGATGGTTCTTTAAAGAACCTTTGACTGAATGGTTCTTTGTGGAACCAAAAATGGTTCTTCTATGGCATCGCTTGAAGAACCTTTTGAAGCACCTTTATTTTTAAGAGTGTGGTGCAGTTTATTTATCTATTACACATTTTAATTATATTACATTATATTACTTAGAAAATAGATAAAAGTACTTTGTATTAATTTGCTTTTATTTTAATATATTAAATACAATTGTATTACATATACTCTGTAAAATTGATTTTGATGTAAATGAAAAAAAAAATATTGGAGCATACAAGAAAGTACTATTTCAGTCTTTCTACTTAAAAATTTCAACATGTTATTTGTTTTTTGTATTTCTAATTATTTGCATTTTTTTTTTTGCAATTTCTGAGTGTAATGTAATGAATAAAATATTTTAAATTACATTTCATTTGAAGATGCATCATGTATATTTTAGCATTTTATTATTCCATAATTATTGTATACATTTTTTTCAACATATTGAATTTACATAGATAGATAGATAGATAGATGTACACAATAATTATGGAATGATATAATGCTGAAATATATACATAATATTTACTTATTTTAATAAGTAATTCGACACAATAGCAAATAAGTGCAAAATAATTTAACAATTTAAAATCTTTACTTAATCAGAAAATGTTTTCACAAGACTGTCAGGTGATATTGGAATCGACACTAGGAGAAATGACCACTTCTGTGGCCTAACACCATTTATAGGTTTCTACAAACCTTTGACTCCTGGGTTCATGCTTGGCTGAAATGAGTGTGTTTCTACCCAATATAACAGACTGAGTGAACAAGAACGAAGAAGAAGAGATGGACAAAGGAGGAGGAGGAGGAGGAGGATTGGATGGGGAAATGGAGGTCACAAAACAAGCAGAGGAAGAGAGCGAAAGTGACAAGAAGCTCAAGGACCAGTGCAACAAGGCAGAAAAGGGTGACAAAGAGAAGGGTGAGCGGAAGAGAGAGAATCGAAGATCTGGTTCAATGTGGAGAGGAGGCTGGGCGCTGTCCGAACGACTGGCCATCAACGTGTCAGGCATGCGCTACGAGACACAGATTCGAACCCTGGCCCAGTTCCCTGATTCTCTGCTCGGAGACCCTCAGCGCCGCCTGCGCTACTTTGACCCACTCCGCAACGAGATCTTCCTGGACCGCAATCGATTCTGCTTTGACGCCATCCTTTACTTCTATCAGTCCGGAGGTCGGTTACGGCGGCCTGCCAATGTGCCTCTGGACGTCTTCATGGATGAACTGCGCTTTTATGAGCTGGGAGAGGATATCATGGCTCGCTTCAAAGAGGATGAGGGCTTCCCCAAGGAGGAGCCTCGGCCCCTGCCAGACAATGAGATCCAGCGCAAGCTGTGGATGCTCTTTGAACACCCTGAGTCCTCTGGAGGTGCCCGCATCATCGCCATCATCAGCGTGATGGTGATTGTGGTCTCTATCCTCATCTTCTGTTTGGAGACGCTGCCTGACTTCAGAGTAGAGAAGGAGCTGAGAGAGGTGAGAGGAGCAGTGAAAGTGACTCAACAAGATGTGTGACACACATGACACTAAACACTAGCAAATTGTTATCAGTTGATATTACCATACAGAAAATGCAGGATTTATTTTTTTCATTATAGTACACATAATGCACAAAACACGAAATATGACCAACAACCTCTAGCAAAGCCATAGCAATAAGAAAGAATGTTAGAATGGCTCTTAGCATGAAGCAGATGGGTTCCTGAGCACATGAAGATGAATGAGCATAAATTAAAATTTATGACTATTAATATAGGCTATTATTTAAAGTCAGCATGAAATGGAAATCCCCCCTATCTCTTTGCTAAGTATGTTATTAAGAATGCATGTTGTTGATCTTATTGTGAACGATTTATCAATCTTTCTTGTTTTCTGACTTCATCAATTTTAATCAAATTTAATAACTTGATCTTCTGTTGAAACTAAAGGCGTGTCTCTGGTGATGTACTTCTCCAATTATTAAAGGGATAGTTCACCTAAAAAAAATAAAATTATCCCATGATTTACTCACCCTCAAGCCATCCTAGGTCTATATGACTTTCAGATGAATACAACTGGAGTTATGTTTAAAAAATATCCTGGCTCTTCCAAGCTTTATAATGGCAGTGAATGGGGGGGGTCAAGATTTTGAAGCAAAATTAAGTGCATGAATCCATCATAAAAAGAGCTCCACATGGCTCCGGGGGGTTAACAAAGGCCTCCTGAAGCGAATCGATGCATTTTTGTAAGAAAAATATCCATATTTAAAACTTCATAAACAGTAATCTCTAGCTTCCGCTAACTGTCGTACGCACGTTCACGAGAGAGTGGTGATCCAGTGGATTACGCAGGACATTTTTTAATATAACTCTGATTGTACTCGTCTGAAAGAAGAAAGTCATATACACCTAGGATGGTTTGAGGGCGAGTAATTCATGGGGTAATTTTAATTTTTGGGTGAACTATCCCTTTAAGTTCACATAAATCCCGCCTCTTTTTATAACCGACCTCTTTAAGACCCACCTTCATCCAATCAACAACCGATGGACTAAACCAAGTCTGCACCCTAAATTTGTTTTTTCATTTCAATAATTCGTTTAATTAGATGTACTGTATGTCATAATATGGAGGAAAGGGTCTTTTGCTACTTCCATTACTTTAATACATTACATTATTTATTATATTTTTATTTTAAGTATTAATAGCTATCAATAACCATTTTAAATATTAATTTAAAGACTATATGTGTGGTCACATTTGCTGTTTTAAATGGAATCTACATGATTGGGAAGTTGAGATTTCGCAGCAGTTTCAAGTTGGTAATGCAGATTATCTGTGTTGACCAGCAGAAAGCTGCTTTGTTTGAAAGTGACTTCTATTTGAGCTGCGCTTCATTCATCACTACACTGTTGACAATTTTGCTACTGTGGCTGCACCTTATTAAATATTCTCAATGTACTTGCCATCCAAAATATTATGAAAAACAATGTACAAATGTCTCCGGTAAGACCAAAAAAACAAACAAAAATAACGATGAGGAAAGCATATCCAAGTATAGGCAAGCTTATCCAAGTAGTGTGCTGTGTAAATGTACACTGCATATTGAATTTCTATCAAATGTAAAAACAATGTTTAATGCTAAATGCTAAACTTTTAAGAACACAGAGGCATTCTTACTGACTATAGGCCTATACAGATTCACATACAAATTTAAAAATGTGTACACATTTCAAATCACACATAATAATAGGTAAGTTTAAAAGTGTGAGAAGTTGCTTTAAAAAAAGAAAACACCGACGAAAAGTTCAGGAGCAGTGTAGGGTTATTGCTGAGATTATTTTAGACGTGTCGTTAAATCTGATACACAGATTGGGAGCAGAGACTCTGAGGGGGGTTGGAAAACAGTCAAGTGACGTTTCCGTGGAGAGATGTTAGCGGCGTACACAGACAAAAAAAAAAGGGAAAGAGATGAGAAATGACAAGATGGCAGGTGACAGTATGAAAGAGCCCCTGTGCTTGATCGAGTGAGAGAAAATAGAGAGATGCAGGGTGGGTTAGGAGCAAGGAGGGAAAGTTAGTAAAGAGTATCAAATTAGTTTCCCAGCAGCGACCCAACTGCTTCGGCACAAGACGGCAACCTCAACACACTGCCAAAGCAGCTCAGTAATTCTGCATGGATCAGACAGTCAACGACCAGTAAACTAAAGCTGGTGAGAGAGAGATTGTACATTCTCAAGTTTCACCTTAGAGATCACTGAGGTGCTATTTTTAGAGTAAGGACAACCCTTCAGAGCATATTAACACAGATACAGGAGCTTGTATTAATAAACAGACCCCCCTCGAATGCTGAAATAGGAATGGAAACACACTTTCACAACATCTTATGACTTTAGCAAAATCTAAATGCACTACGATAGGGAACACTTAATAGCCAGCTAGCCCGACACGAGATCACACACACCACACGTGCATACAAACTCACATCTCACATGTCATATTTTCTAATCTTCTATCTTGCTATTCATAAATCTGTTTTCCATGCAAACACATGCTTAGCTTTGAGTTATATGACTGGAAATTCAAGTAAGGCTATACGTATTTATGGATACATATTTGAAAATACCCCTACTCTGGTTACCTCTTACATACTGATGTGGTTTGTGCTCGTGTACACATTAGAGTAAGTAGTTTTTATGGAGTCAGAGTGATAAAGAGCAAAAATGACTGACCTTTGAGTGAAAGATCATGTTCTGTGACCCTAAAAGCAGAATGGGATATTCAATTTCACTCAAGAAGTGGGTGTCAAATGGGCAACCAAATTGTTTCAGTCAGGCACTTGTTAGGCAAACATGTTTGGTCTCAAGAGTAGTTTCAGAAATTATCTTTCTATATTAAACAGTTTTATTAACTTAAAGGGGTCATATGATGCGATTTCAAGTTTTCCTTTCTCTTTGGAGTGTTACAAGCTGATTGTGCATAGATAAGATCCCTGAAGTTGCAAAGACTAAAGTCTGTATTTGAAAAATAATGTGTTTTTTGAACATTAAAGCATGTCAACATATTCTGTTACACCAAATACACAAAATAATGATATTTAAAAAAGCATCATATGACCCCTTTAAAGCTACAGTATAACGCTGTATGCCCTCTAGCGGTTAAAAAATAAAACTGCATTTGTCTTGCGAAAAAAACGTTTCGCTTGTGCTTCGGCTCTGCTCTGCATGGATGTGATTCGTAGCACCGAAACCTTAAAATCTACATTGTATAAACTAAAAAAAAACATTAAAATCTAAAAAAAAAGGTGTCACCATTACGCCGTTGTTTTCTACTTTTTGCAAACACTGATGTTTTTAAATAAATTATGTAATAAAAGTTTAGGCCTACATTACACTGTCACTGCACATACGATAATTGCTAGTTTGACAAGGTCAAACGTTATATAAAATGAATTCACGTTACTGTTAGAGAGCTACATGGCTATCTATCTGTTCAACAGAATACCTGTTTGGTGAGATTTAAAAAATCGGCTGGGTTGCTTTTTAAGCCTTCCTAATCTCAGAGTTCTCGCACCTCTGAAAGTCCGATTCAGGTTTTATTACAAACTCTGTCTCTTTTCGCTGCCTTTTTTCTTAAAGGGGTCATATGATGCTGCTAAAAAGAACAGGCAGCGTCAACAATACTACAGCGAGAATAAAAGTTACGCCTTCTTTCTTTGCGTGAACATTTGGGCGGCGTTATGCAAATCTTCCCACATAGCGACGTAGACGTGTGGGCATGTTAGAACGAGCCGTTTTAGGTAGGTGTGGCTGACACTTTTATAAAGAATATCTCTTTGGATTTGAGACTTTAGTCTTTGCAACTTTACAGATCTTCTTTATGCACCAAGAGCTTGTAACACTCCAAAGAGAAAGGAAAAATTTAAATCGCATCATATGACCCCTTTAAACACGTTTAAGAAATGTTGACACCCACACCAAAAACGTTAAAGGGGACATAACACACACATTTTTTTTTGCCAATCTCGTATTAATCTTGAGTACCTATACAGTATTGGATACTTCATGTCCAAGGAGTCTTTAGTTTTATCAGATTTATAAAGTAAGATAAAACAATTGAGCTTCTGGAGGCATGGCATGGGCGGAGCTAAAGAGTCATGAGCACTCTAAGCTTTTGCATAGCTATCACCTGCAAGCTGTGACATCAGCATAAATAATTCCCTTAAAGTCCGAGTAAAGCCAGTGTTAAGGTGCATACTAGAGGTCTGCATCCGACCTAATTTTTTGCGCCTTGGGATTAAATTCCCGAATAACACATGGTAGCGGTCGGTAACTCTGGTGTAATTTGAACTATTTATTTTTCTCTGCGACACTTTTCCTACTGTGTTAACAGAAAAATGTCAAATGAATTTAGTATTTTGACAAGACGAATAAAAATGTTTGTACAACCTACATTTAAAAAAAAAATTCTCTCTGCGACACTTTTTCCCTATTGTGTTGTCAATGTTAGACGAATTGTATCCTGACCAGACGAATAAAAATAAGAAATACAATTTTTGTACAACATTTTTATTTGCTCTGACACTTTTTTTTCCTACTGTGTTGCATAAAATATTAAACAAATTTTGTGTCTTAAGATAATTCATATAAATTCAAGTCAAATTCAAGTCAAAGCCAATAAATTCAAGACTCTTGACAAGACGAATAAAATAATATAGACTACAATTTTGTGCAGACTACACTTTTATTTGTCAGCCTATCTCTCTTTCTTTCAGTAGCGGAAATTTAAATGTGAGATTCTGGAAACGAGATCTAAATTTAGCGGGAACAGTCGGGTCGGGACGAAAATTATTCTAAGCGGACAGCGAGTGAACAAAGAGTGAATATATAGCGGGAGCGGGTGGGTGCGCAATAGAACCTTGCGGGAGCGGGACTAAAAAAACAGTCCCGCGCAGACCTCTAGTGCGTACCGCCACCTACTATATTGGAGTGTGCAACATCATTCTGATCATTTTCTATTCCTAAAACACCTCTAATGTTCCATTCCCTTCTAACTTTTATAATGCATTGTTTAAGTTTTTCTCTTTTTTCTCTGAATTTCCTGCATTCTTTTTGGCGTGAACTGGATGTTGCTGCCGACTTTATTTCAGTATGGTGACGTATTTCCCACTGAAACGGAATATTGAGTAAAGGGCGGGGTTTTATTTTTGCGCTCCTCCTCTCAACTTTCACTCGCAGCAAACTAACGGTTTAGGGGTGAAGCAAATTCTGCCCAAAGCCATGACCCAAGCGTCATCAGAGCAGGGGTGCCATTCCGGAACAGAAGCAAATGATCAGATTTTGATTAAAGATTACCAAGACAAACTATTTTTTTCAGAGGATTAACTTGCATGGATTAATTGTTCACTTTAAGACTAACAATGTGAACTAACAAAATAAATATGATAAATTTTGATTTCATGCAGACTTTGGGAAGCTGAACAAGGTTATCTTTCCCTCACAACCAAAAACACACTTTTTCGGCATTGTTGATTTTGTGGTCAAAAACCAAATGTAAAATTCTTCTCGAGCAATTCTTGTGCCGACGACTTCCGTAACCCGAATGAAGCACGTGCTCTTCTTTTATGACGGCATACAGGGCCATGCTCGAAATTTTTTTTTCCAGAAACTTATACAAAACCTGAAGAAGTTTTTTGAGACTTTACTCATGTTTAGCGCATGGGAATTCAACTCTTTAGTAGTGTAAATAAGTCAAAATGCATTATACATCCCCTTTAACTGTATATTAATAACGATATAGTTTTAAAATTAGTTCTAAATGTAAAAGAATACATATATCATTACAAAATTGAAAAATTTATAAATTTTATATATACAGGTTTTACAAATGAGGATGTCCACAAAATGTTGTCAGATTTAGTCAGATTTGTTTCCAAAAATCCAAAGTACACACAAAGACACACACATAGTTGCACAGTAAATTAAAAGTGTTAGGTTGTAACCACACAGAAAATACACTGAACAAAATTATAAACGCAACACTTTTGTTTTTGCCCCCATTTTTCATGAGCTGAACTCAAAGATCTAAGACTCTCGGCACGGAGCTGGCCAAGTCTAGGGGAGCGACGCCGTCCATGTCCCTGGCGATCGTAAGGGTCATCCGTCTGGTTCGAGTCTTCCGGATCTTCAAGCTGTCTCGCCACTCCAAAGGCCTTCAGATCCTGGGCCAGACGCTGAAGGCCAGCTTGAGGGAGCTGGCGCTGCTCATCTTCTTCCTCTTCATTGGAGTCATCCTGTTCTCCTCGGCCGTGTACTTTGCCGAGGTGGACAAACCTGGAACGGCCTTCACCAGCATCCCAGAAGCCTTCTGGTGGGCTGTGGTCTCAATGACGACAGTGGGGTACGGCGACATGTACCCAGAGACGGTGGGCGGAAAGCTGGTGGGCTCCATGTGCGCCATCGCCGGCGTGCTCACCATCTCGCTTCCTGTTCCCGTCATCGTTTCCAACTTCAGCTACTTCTACCACCGCGAAATGGAGTGTGAGGACAACCAGGAATACACACACGTCAGCACCTCCCTTTGGGAGGGGGAAGAAGGTGGGAAAGAAGGAGAAGAAGGTGAGGAAGGGCCTGGGGAACAGGGAGACCGCATTCCTCTCGAAGGAGGCACGGCCTATAGGGGTATCTGCGCCCCTCTTAATGGGACTCTCCTGGCTGGGCTTTGCGCGGGACAGACCGGAGTGCAAAGTGTAGGGAGCGTTTACCCACTGGTCACCCAAGTCTGAGAGACTGGAGATCAAAGAGGAGGAATGAGAGATGGAGGTGGTCCTGTACCATGTTTTAAGGTACACTGCCTCACTGTGACTCACTGAATATATGTGGAGGATGGGAAGGAATAAATGCAAGAAACAGAAAACGGTTGATGAAGAGGCTGAGAATCAACAAAATGCAGATGCAGTATCCAAAGGAAAGGTATAAAGAAGTTACAAAAAACATTGACTTTCTATCTATAACACATCTTTAAACCGCTTTCCTAACGTTCCGGTAACCAAACTATTTTGACATCACAACCTTTACTCTGAACTTTAAATCACTGAATGTATTTATTTGAGAAACTATTTTGATCTATTCAGAGAGTGGCATCTCAATGCGTTTGGAAAAATAGCTGAGGATAAGCTGAGCTGTCTTGTGCAATAAAAGCGTTTGCACCTTTGCTTTAAAGATCTTACTGGAATCGTTGACATATATATATATTATCGGACTTGTTCGTAGGAAGAAGCGCCCTGCGGTGTCATTTAAATGTCATGTATTTTGTCACCTGTGTTGCAGCCATGAATGTGCCAGGGATTTGTGTGTCCCGACGAATGGATAAAGTCTTAAGCATCATTCATCTGGAGCAGTTTTGTGTTACTGCTGTTCTGACATTGTTGAAATGCTTGTGTATGCAAAGGCTTTTTAGGAAAATATGTACAGTCATTTATGATGTGTGTGTGCTCCGTGAATTGTGTAACGCTGAGCCATGTTTGTGTACTATTTATTCACATTTTTAATGACACAAAAATCATACTGAAGTGACTCAGTGTACTACAAAAAGAACAAACAAACTGAAAGTGGAATCTTCTCCAGCTGAATTGAAATATTTAAATGAACGATTGTATGATGTTTAATATAACAATATTTAAGTTACTTAAATTAATTTAAATAATTTTAGACCATAGCAAATAAATAAATAAGTTCAAATAAATATTAAAAAAAAATACAGTAACAAAACATTTTAAACATCGCAGTCCAGTGATAATGTAAAGCATGCCTCCATAACTGATGTTCTCCAGTCCTCATTTCCTACTATGCAGACTGGGACTGAAGACAGTCTGAATGTGTGACTGATGTCCTATTCCTAGTGGGTCGTCAGAGTCCAGGTTTATGTCCTGAATATACTGTTTCACCTCCTGTATCTGGCTGTCCTCTCCTTTCCCTGCCATTGCCAACTGAGTATTCATAACAGGGAGGAACCGAGAAAGTGGGGCACCGTGTGTCTGCCCAGACTGCTTTGAAGGGAGCGACACGGGATTCCTAGTGTGTGGAGAAAGGAAATAAGAATATCCATCTGGCAGCAGCAATTCCTGAAAGGTGCAGTCTCCTTCAGTGTAGTGCGGCTGAAAAAGAAAACAAAGCTCAGTCCCAAATGTGTGCAAGACTCCAGTAAAATTCATGTAGGCTACCTTAAATAAATATAACAGCTTACTAAATGTTTACTACAGGTGTTGCAAACCATGTCAAATCAATTCCACATTTAATAAATAATGAAATACAGGATTCAAAAACATAAATATAAAAAATAAGATATGTAGTATTATGTGTAATAAAATAAAAATCAACATTTCGACAAAACTAGAATTTGAGTAGTTGTGAAGAGAAAACTAATTATTAATTGTAAAAACATTATTTATAAATACATTTAATATCAATGACTTTTAAATGTTGTGCAAATCATTAAAAAAATACACAAATTGTTTTTTTAAATGTCTCTTATGCTCACCAAGGCTGCATTTATTTGATCGAAATGTAATTTAGTTTATATATTAATATTTAATATATAATATGAATATATTTAAAAAATGTAATTTATTCCTTTGATGCGAAGCTGAATTTTCAGCAGTCATTACTCCAGCCTTCAGTGTCACATGATCCTTCAGAAATCATTTTAATTTGCTGATTTGCAGCTCAAAAACATTCTCAAAAAATGTTTGAATACAGCATAATTTTTTGTTGTGAAAATCATGATTCTTTTTTTTCAGGATTCTTTGATGAACAGAAAAAAAAGAGATTTATTTGAAATGTGTTCTCTGTAACATTATAAATGTCGTTACTGTCAATTCTGATCAATTTAATGCCTCATTGCTAAATAAAAGTATAAATTTCTTTAAAAAAAAAAAAAACAGTACCTTAACTATCTAAAGTTATTAATAATTATCTCAATTATTTTTAAATAAAATTCTATATTATAATATTGTATATTTTGCTTGTACAATTTGCTTTTAAATGGCAAAATAGTAAATGCTAGTATCCATTTTATGTATACACTGCTCTCTCTCTGCTACGCTAGAATGGTGTCTTTTTACTAATTGTCATTTTTCAGTTTTATTATATTTGTATTTATTTGTTTTTAAATGACCATGCTCTATTGGATGTTTCAAATTTGTGAAGATGTTCGAATGTCCAGACCTGTCCTTTCAAGTCGTCTTTATCATCCACGCAGAGGAAGAGAGATGTAGCCGCACTCTGGATGACCGTCTCCCCGGCTTTCACTGAACGCAGGTTCAGCACACCTACAGCGTGCAATTTGTTATTATTTGCATAACCCTTGTTATCACAGATATTATGAATTATTATGATCTTTTCTGATAAGTATTTGTCCTTGAAGGACATTCTGAGAAGTAAGGCCATAATGAGGGTTACTTAATGATTACAGTAGTACTCCGTCAGTAAACTGTGCTCTTTAACTCTTTAATGTTTGCAGCAGTTGCTTACAGTTGCGCTTCTCTTCTTGAGACCCTCTAACGGAGCCGTCAGGTTTCATTTCAAGGAACAGCCCATACTTTCTGTTATCTAAAATGGATAAAAACACACAGATTGACATTACTTCAAGCCAGTCTTTGCTCTTTAGGAACAAAACACAGTACAATTGCAGTGCAAAACGAATGCCTTGAAATAAAAGGCATACATTTTTATTGTAACATCACCACGCCAACTAAAAAGGATCGACTGATTCCAGATAGCCATGTTGACAGACCCACATTAAGCAGATCCTAACATCTTGCAGCTCAAAAAGAAGCAGAAACTCATTTGCAACTATTGCAATAGGTTAAAGGTTAAGATTACCTGTGTAGAGCAAGCATTCCCTGACTTGCGTGCCAAACGGCAGAAGCACGTTCTGTACAGGAACATACATACACCAATGAAGAGGAGGACACAGAGCAAGAAAAATGAAAAAACAGGTAAACTGCATGATTGACCGAGCCGACCAGGTGGTCATCAATACAAATGGATGGTATCCAAACGTAAAAATATTCTCAAAAATAAAATATCTGTAATAATAAACCTTAAAACTGACTTAAAATGTAAATGATATATAAAAAGTAAGAGGCTAACTCCAATTTGTGAAACTGAATTGCGATGCCTCCAAGACCTCCAGATGCTAAGATGGTCTACACAGAAGACATGTCTCTGTAAACTTGTATTTATACAGTACGCATGAGAGAGCGACAGAGAATCCATGAGTCACTTGAGTACGAAAAGGAAAAATGATAACAAACTTGTTTTCAGGAAATGAAGGAGGAAAAACTGATGGTAAATCTCACATGGCTACGCTAGTTAAGTCACTGATCTCAGAGGACAGGGGACAACATATAGCATATAAGTTTGCATATCGCAGATAAATAATTGTTTATTTAATATAAAGTGTTTCAGTTATTTCCCAGTATTAGGAGGAAATGGGAGTGGAGGTGACAGTTTAAACAAGAACAGATAAGAGGCCATAAAAAGCACTTAAAGTGAGTTTCATGCTCATCTGTGCATTCATGACAGGACGCGAGGACATTACATTACCGTCCCATCAGCTAGAGAGGGCAGTGCGGCATCAAGTGAAACTTTTTAATGAAAAAGTTCAAGTGTGCATGTCTTATCTTATCAAAAGTTAGCACAAACATGCTAACCCGGTCTGTCAATAATTGTTAGATCCCTGTAAATGATTAAAGACTGTAAATACCGAGGTATAATTGAACAGCTGAACTCCATCAAGTGTTGACCAATGTCTTTTATCACAGAATCCCTAAAGAATCACATCCTTTTCTCCAATTGCCATTTTGCCCTTTCATCTTAATACAACTTCTTTAAGCTTTCCCATTCCGTCTCGGTGACGTCCAGGGTCCCCACAATAACGTCAGTGTCCCTTGTAATCATCATGTCTCCTGCCTCGTTGTTGTCCTGGGAAGAATGAGGAGGATTGACGTCTTTCTGGCCATCTGCTGCTCTCTCCCATCCTTTGCTTTCTCACTCATTCTTCTTTGAGCGGATTATGTGTTTTGATGTCTTTGTCTCATCATTGTGTGAGGAAATTTTGACTCTGCGTGCATGAAGGGATTTCGTTCGCCCACCGGTCTTAATGCGAGAGTGAGACGGGATTTAAACATGCCTCGTGTTGACATCGACTCTTACACAAGAGGCATTAAAGGACAAAGCACTCATAAATTGTTACGATTTTATTACGCACACCATAGACAGCAGCTGATTTCATGGGAAAATTGAAGTCTATCAGACATGATAAATACACGAGTCAGACAAAATACATCATGAATAACAAACAAAATTTTACTAGTTCGAGTGCAACTCTAGACAATAAACATAATCCGTAATAGCAAATGGCAACAATATTAACATCAAAGTTATTCTTGAATTGTAAAGGAAAGAAAAACATTGCTCTTTCATAGTTTAAAAGAAATCAGAAATCAGTCTCAGAAATACTAATGCAAACAAATGAGATGACTGTTGATGTACAGTACGATTATAGAGCTACAATGTCCATTGCTTATGATTTAGGAAGGTTTGGATGAGGATTACTGAAATCTGAGACGCTTGACTGCAGACTTTGGTATCATGGCAAATCTGTATTAACACTACTATTCAAAAGTTTGGGGTCGGTAAGATTTTGAATGTTTTCTAAGTCTCTAATGTTCACCAAGGCTGTATTTATTTGATCAAAAGTACAGTAATAACTGTAATATTAGGAAATATTACTACATTTTTTACATCTGAATTTCCAGCATCATTACTCCAGTCTTCAGTGTCACGTGAGCCTTCAGAAATCATTCTAATATGCTGATTTGGTGCTCAAGAAACATGTATTATTATTAATGTTTAAAACAGTTGTGCTGCTTAATATTTTTGTGTAAAAGTAATACATAAAATATGCTAAGTGTAATTTCAGGATTCTTCAATGAATCGAAAGTTCAAAAGAACATCAGATATTCTGTCACAGAAATCTTTTGTAACATGATAAATGACTTTACAGTCACTTTTGATCAATTGAATGCATCGTTGCTGAATAAAGTATTAATTTCTTAAAAAAATTACTGACCTCCAACTATTTTACTATTATAATTTAATACTATTATTATTTAATTTAATAATATTATAATTTACAATTTTACAAACTATTATAATTTAACGATGAAATAATTTTTATTTCAAAGAAAATATTGCAATTCTTTGGCAATATGTTCTAAAGTATGAAAAGTGAATTAAAAAAAAATATCTCACTTGTGATTTTTTTTTTTATGATAGGCTGGATGTGTGTGAAAACTGCACTGGCATTCATACAGCATGACAGTGGACGACTTGTGCAAGGACAATGGGTATAAAAGTAAAGTATGATATCAGATTTGTGTAACTGCACTTGGCCTGGTAATGTTGAGTTGTGTAAGCCTGATGTCACACCCACTAATATAAACAGTGTATTGGTAAATCTGTACATGCAAATTATGTTTTAGTGTATGATTCACATTTTTAAGACACGCGGAAACGTACATGGTACGTGGAGAAACTGCATCATGTTACTCACAGCTGCTTGTGACGTCCTAGGCCACCGTCAAAAGAAAAGCCCAACAAATCATAAAACGTTTGGACTGTTTATAGGAACCAACTGCTTCGACTCATTTGAACTGCCTGTTGTCATTTTGTTTATGTTGCACTAGCAACTGAACAGAGGACATCTTGACTATAAAAGTAAACTAAGGCAGCTCAAATGAGTCAAGGCTATCTTTTCCCTGAACCATTGAGTAAGTCTGGGATTTACAGTGCAGTGCAGTGACATCCAGTGTTATAACCAGTATCCCAGTAGCCTAGATAAATTATATGATAGGGAAGTCAAAGAATAAATAAAATCAAGATTGGCAGAGCATGTGCAATAAACGCTCAGAGCCACTCGTCCGGTTTATTACCGAAATCCTGTAAAAGCAAATAAGCTACAAGTTACAAACAGTTACAGTTGCTAGACTATAAAGCTGATACTAAGAAACATAGTGAACCCTCCATTCACTTATATATCAAGTTTCTCAATGCAAAACAAACACACAACAAACCTAGGTACTCAAAGTCTGTGCCAAACAACAAAAATGCCAGCGTTCACCCAGAAAGGTGGGTTCTGAGATACGGAAGAAGTATTGTGAAAATGTGCTACAGCTTTGTCTGTCTCGTTCAGGGCAGGTCACAAGGTGGGATGTTGTGGCGCCTGTCATACGCCGTGTCGTCGCTTTCTTCTCCGTCGCTCGCCTCGTCCATCATTCTTTCTTTCTCCTCGTCCTCCTCAGTCTCGCTCCCTTTATCCCGCTCCCGCAGTCTCGCTCTTTCTCTGTCTCTTTCCCGGTCTCTGCCTCTCTCTCGGAAACCTCTGGGAAGAGTGGTAATCTGCGGGATGCGAAGTGATGAGCGACTTTTAACAGCATATCCACAACAAAAACACCTCAGTATAAGAACATCGGAATTACTTGATCAGACTGAAACGAATAGTTTACTCACCCTCATGTCAATACAATGTCATTTTTACAGAAAAAGATGTTGCAGTAAACATGTTAAAGTAAAACCTGTTTATTGATTAACTGTAAGCTGTCATATACAGTGAAAAACTGTAAATGGTTTACCATTGTGGTGAAATTACTGTCAGATTTATGGTTGCAAGTAAACCTATGAATTACTGAATAATTTAGTTCCGGTCCTTGATTCTGATTGGCTGAGCCACGTTCAAAGCTGTTGTAAATTACCCTACAAACATACACCTTTGTTTACATTTGTGTGTTGCTCGGCAACAACTTTGTTGCAACCACAACTGATTCTGAGGAACTACATTGTTTGGTGGAAGACTACTGTTTTTATTAATATCATTACACGTTATTTGCTCTGTATTCCATACGTATATGGAATAACCATTTTATAAAAGCAATAAGCCCCGTGAAGCCGTGGTTTACAGTGAATTTATAACAGCTAATAACAGCTTATAACTTCGCTTCGCATCGACAACAACGCCCCTTAGCTGTTATAAATTCACTGTAAACCACGGCTTCACGGGGCTTATTGCTTTATTTTATTACTCTGATGGTATTTTGTCTTTTAAACAATTTTAATATTAACAATATATCGTTTAATTAAATATACAAGTATAATTAGTAAAATTTACAGACACCAAAATGCCAAAATCTCGTAATACCTGAAACACTTTTCTGGAAACCACAGCTGCCATTATTTTTTTACATCATAAATTTAACAGGATATTTTTTGTGTACTTTTTCTGTATTGTGTAGTGTATTTGTTCTTCCGCAGAACTTGTTTACTCTTTTTCATGCAATTACAAAGAACAAGGACAGAAGTTTTCAAAGGTTTTCAAAGGAAGGTTCAAAAAGGATGCACTCCACAGATCAGTCCAATTTGCGAACAAATTATTCAGACTGGTGAACTGGATATAACACATCACTGTCAAGATCAGACTAAAAAGAAAGATTTGTTCACAGATCAGACAGCGTAACTTCTCTCA